CGAGACCTCATCTCTGTAATAAATCAAAAAATTAGCCGGGCGTGGTAGCGCACGCCTGTAGTTCCGGCTACTCAGAAGGCTGAGGCGGAAGGATCGCCGGAGCCCAGCAAGTCGAGGCTGTGGTGTCCAGGAGCGGCCGCTGCACTCCAGTCTGGGTGACAGAGTGAGACTCTGACTCAAAAAAAAAGAAATGAATTGTAAAAAACTTAAAAATAAACAAAATCAATTATAAAAGATCAAGCCGGGAGCAGAGACGCATGCCTATAATCTCAGCACTCTGGGAGGTTGAAGTGAGAGGATTGCCTGAGTCCGCAGGCAACTTGGTGAGACCTCATCTCTACAATAAATCAAAAAATTACCCATGCATGGTGGCGTGTGCCTGTAGTTCCAGCTATTTGGAAGGCTGAGGAAGGATCGCCTGAGCCCAGCAGGTCGACACTGGGGTAGCTGTAAGCATGCATGCCACTGCACTCCAGCCTGGGTGACAGTGTAAGACTCCAACTCAAAAAAAAAAAAAATTGTCTTTCTTTTTTTAAGCCAACAATTTGTCTTCCATTCTGAGTACATTCCCACACTTCTTACCTTGTTTTTCAAAGTGGTATTAGTGTCTCATATAGATATCCAATGAAATTTCAAAGAGAATCATCCTATGGTTACAAAGAAATGAGCTTTCAAAAGAGCAGATGCTCACAGCTCTTTCCAACTACGATGTTCTATTCAAGGATATACCTCCCCTAGTCTGCTGGAAATGACTATAAGATTAATTAGAGCAGAAATAAAATGATGAAGTAAAACTGTAAAGGTGGAGCAATATACTATTACATACAACCCTAGTCCTAGTATCAAATAATGGAATGTGTTTAGACGCCATTAAGTCATGGGTGGCTTAGAAAAGCATGAGACCTAAATTATTCTTCCTACTGTAGAACAGGGAATACTTTATTAATGTTTGGTCACCATGCCAGGTTGAGGAAATGTTACATATCATGTATGAGAAAAAGCCCAGAATTAGACAATCACATATAAGCTAAAACATTTCCTTATCACTTCTTTTAATTATTAAGAAAAAGAAAACTGAGCAAGGGAGAACTGCCCATTTATACACTTACCAGAATTCTGGATCCGCCATGTTTTCACAAACTGAGTATCAGGAGGTATTGATTCCCCTTCTCCTATGGTGACGTCTTCAACAAAGGACATCGAGGGCACGCTGATGTTTGGGCTCTCAAAGTCATAATAGGCGCCAATTGCTGCTTGTAGGTTCCTACAAATAAAAAGGCAAAAAGACTTCAGTCCTGTCCAAGGAGGTTACCCTAACTGTCAAACAAGAGGAAAAAAGCCAGTTTCTTGGGGTTTGCCACAGAACCTGAGGCTCCTAATATGCAAGTCTTTAAAGCCATTGATTCTGACTGAGAAACAATAGGAAAAACACTAGGATCAACAAACCTGTGTATCATTTTCTTCCCAAAGTACCCACATGGGCAGTAACATTAGTACTATCAGCAATAGTATGAAGAAACCTCTGTTACCCATAGGATATCAAGAATGGATAAGGAAGTCAAACTCCAACTGTAACTATGGAATTTAAAGATGCCCTTTTTTCTTTTGAGTTGGAGTCACATTCAGTCGCCCAGACTGGAGTGCAGTGGTACACTCCCAGCCACCGCAGCCTCAACCTGCTGGGCTCCGGCGATCCTTCCGCCTCAGCCTTCCAAGTAGCTGGAAGTACAGGCATGCACTACCACACCTGGCTAATTTTTTGATTTTTACTGTAGAGATGAGGTCTCGCCAAGTTCCCCAGGCGGGTCTCGAACCCGTGGGCTCAGGCAATTCACTCACCTCAGCCTCCCAAGGTGCGGGATTACAGGTTGAGCCACTGAGCCCGGCTATGATACATATTCTTATCTTTCCCCCATTTTACACAATTGGTAGAATATACACTGTCCTAGCTTTATTCTCTTAACACTGTATCTTGAAGACACTCATATGTCAGCACATAAAGAATACCCTCATTGTTTTTACAGCTGTTCCACTTTACAGATGTATCATTATTTGTTTAACCAGTCAACTTTTGAGTTTGCTTCCAATCATTAACTCTTCCATAAGTAAGCTTAAGCATACATTGTTTTGTATACATGAAAGTATATCCATGGGATAAACACCTAAAATTGATAATGCTGAGTCAAAGGGTATATACGTGTGGTTTTAACAGACATAGCCAAACTTCCCTCAATAAAAGTTGTACATGCCGGGCTCGGTGGCTCAGCCTGTAACCCCGCGCCTTTGGGAGGCTGAGGTGAGTGGATTGCCTGAGGCCGCGGGTTCGAGACCTGCCTGGGCAGCGAGACCTCATCTCTACAATAAATCAAAAAATCAGCCGGGCGTGGTAGCGCGCACCTGTAATTCCGGCTACTTGGAAGGCTGAGGCGGAAGGATCGCCGGAGCCCAGCAGGCGAGGCTGCGGTGGCCGGGAGCGGCCACTGCACTCCAGTCTGGGCGACGGAGTGAGACGCCAACTCAATAAAAATAAATAAATAATAAAAAAATTCCAAATAAATAAAATAAAATAAAAGTTGTGCACTAATTCTCCCACCAAGAATGTAAGAGAGTGCCTATTTACCCACTTGCTCATCAACAGAGTTTCTCCATTTTGGATTTCTACCAGTTAGAAAAATAATATTCCAGTGAGCTCTTAAAATGCTTTTCTCTTAACAAGAGAGATTGGGTATCTTTTTACATGTTTAAGAGTCATTTTGTAGTTTGTTTTTTTGGTAGCACCATTTGTAAATATTGGTGTTCTTTAATTATTCATAAACCCTTTTTGTCAGAAGGAACTACTGAGCACATAAACCAGAGTTCCCAACTGAACAGAATCACATGATTGACAGACAGCTTGGTTCATCAGTGCCAGAAACCAAAGGCCACTAAGGAGTTTAAGTAAGCTGTGTCCATTTCAGAGGTCACAAAAATTGTTGGTAATTACATTAAATGCTTCTCTTCTGGTCTTACTCAAATCAGTGACATCATCCCGTCCCCACAGTAGACAACAATCCAAACTGCATGTTTCTAAACATAACCCAACCATAAACCAAAGGATCCAGTGGGCTGTTTTTAATTATGCTTAAACACGGCATGAAACAAGCTCTGACAGTACCCAACTGTTCAACAGACATGATATTAACAGCAAGTATTTTTCTGCTGGGGGTCTACCTACTCCTCCAGGTATCTACAGCTGTCAGAAAGGAAGGCTCTATTTATAGCAGCTACCTTAGGTCAAGCCTCATGCAACGGTGGCCTGTCATATTAGTCAGTAATGACTGGAATTACAAAACCAACTGCCTGCCTATCATATGTGAGCTTGATAACATTTACATGGAGCAAAGCTGGGCCATAGGCCGAACTGCACCTGTTTGCTTGAGTGTTCAATAAAAAGACTTGGATTTTAGTCTTCTCAGCAGTTTTCCATCGAGCTATCAGTGATCCAGAGTGAAGGATATGTGACTGGTCAAATCTGGTGAAATCCAGTCCCTACCATCCACAAATAGGCTTAGAGATACATCTGGAATCAGCCTTACACTTAGGGATCAAAGATAAAATGAGAAAAAAATAAGCCTATTTTGCAATTTGTTCTTCCAAAACAAAAATTTTGTCACCTAAGCCCAGCAGGTCAAGGCTTCAGCGGCCGTGAGTGTGCTACTGTACTCCAGGACTGGGCTACAAGAATGAGACCCCAACTCAAAAAAAAAAAAAAAATTTGTAAAAGCTGTATGTTCACCTTTTCGTAGAAATAATTTTTCTACCACAGGTTGCCAGCAAGTAGCCTGAATTGTTTTTTGTTCACTTGGCTGTAAAATATGCTTGGAAGGGAAGAAACTATTTGTGCACTCAGGACAATTGCCAATTCTCATCCCCAGTCTGTGTCATATTTCACCTCTTGGCTTTACCATTGGGATAGGACTTCAAGACCACTGCAGAAGGAACATTAACAAGTGAAAAAGCCAAGCTACCCTACTTAGGCAGATCTAGCCCCCTCTTTAAATCTCCTTTCACACATTTCCAACTTATCCCATAGTCAAAACGAACACAACTTATTTGTACCTGTAAAATATAAGTCAGTCAGCCACAGAAAGATTAAGAAACACTTTTAAAATCCAAACTGAAACTGAAAGCAGTGAACTAGAATCCTGGCAGGAAGCTGGAGTGGAGGATGACGGAGCAACTTAATTTCCCAAGTTCTAGGCAGAAAATGGACTTTAGCCCAGTGGTGCTCTAACCCTTCAGGCAGGTACACAGCTCTCCGAGTTTGGAACATTGAGATCACTGACCCACTGGGCTGAGCAACAGTAGGTATAGACCAAACAGCTCCCAATCAGGATCAGAAAAGTAGGCATAATAGCATATATTTCCGTTCAAAACAACATACTCAGCTATTATTGGCCAACAAGAAATCCTTCATGAAGTAGAGCTGGCTAAGGTGATGGGAAAGGGAAAGCACTGATCCAGTGTTCAGTCCAGCCCAAAATTTACTCTCCAGGTTCCTTCCATGTTTCTGCTCAAAAAAAGTTTTGGGTTTTTTTTTTGAGTTGGAGTCTCACTCTGTCGCCCAGACTGGAGTGCAGTGGCCTCTCCCGATCACAGCAGCCTCGACCTGCTGGGCTCCGGCGATCCTTCCGCCTCAACCTTAAAAGTAGCTGGAATTACAGACATGCGCTACCACGCCCGGCTGATTTTTTGATTTATTGTAGAGATGAGGTCTCGCTGCCCAGGCGGGTCTCGAACCCGCAGGCTCAGCCAATCAACTCACCTCAGTCTCCCAAAGGCGCAGGATTACAGGCTGAGCCACCGAGCCCGGCTTAAAAAAAAGTTTTAAAACTTAAAAAAAATTTAAGATTTGATTTCAAATAACTAAAAGAACTCTGAAGAACCAACAGAGGGATTGGTAGCAGTGGGATGCTGCCAGGGCAGGGGTGGGGACACAACATCAATAAGGGTACTTGATCTCAAACCAGGCAAAGTGGGGACCAAAGGGAGGCCCAAAATTTATCTGACAACATCTTGACTTGTACCCCATATCTTTAAAATACTGAAAAAAAAACCCCAAAAAACAAAAAACAGAAGCAACATACAGTGAAAAGAAGCACAGGTTAAGATGGATGGTGACCGGCCAGGCATAGAGGCTCACCCTGCAATCCCAGCACTTTGGGAGGCCGAGGTGAGAGGACTGCCTGAGCCCATGGGTTCGAGAGTAGCCTGGGCAACTTTGTGAGACTTCGTCTCTACAATAAATCAAAAAATAAGCTGGGCGTGGAAGTCTGCGCCTGTAGTTCTAGCTACCTGGAAGGCTGAGGTGGAAGGATCACCTAAACCAGCAGGTAGAAGCCGCAGTGGCCATGAGTGTGCCACTGCACTCCGGCCTGGGTGACAGAGTGAGATGCCAACTCAAAAAAAAAAAAAAAAAGATGGATGGTGGTGATGGTTGCACAATATAGTGAATTGAGTTAATTCATTGAATTGTATGCTTAAAATGGTAAATTTCTAGCTGGGGTCGGTGGCTCAGTCTGTAATCCCGTGCCTTTGGGAGGCTGAGGTGAGTTTGAGACCCGCCTGGGCAGCGAGACCTCATCTCTACAATAAATCAAAAAATTAGTCAGGCGTGGTAGCGCACGCCTGTAGTTCCAGCTACTTGGAAGGCTGAGGCGGAAGGATCGCCAGAGCCCAGTAGGTGGAGGCTACGGTGGCCGGGAGCGGCCACTGAACTCCAGTCTGGGTGACTGAGTGAGACTCCAACTCAAAAAATAAATAAATAGATAAATAAATAAATAAACAAATAAATGGGTAAATTTCTTTTTTTTTAATCAATATTTTTTATTTTAAAATTCTGGGGTACAGTTAAGGGTGAGGTATACAAATATGCATCGTTCATGCACCCGTGTTGATAAGAGGTGTCTCCCCGTTAAAATGATAAATTTCATGTTGTTTAGACTTTATATAATAAAAATTTTTTTTTAAGAGCATGGTCTTGCCAGGGACAGTGGCTCATGCCTGTAATCTCAGCACTTTGGAGGCAGAGGCAAGAAGACTGTCTGAGCCCAGGAGTTCAAGACCAGTCTGGGCAACTTGGCAAGACCTCATCTCTACAGTAAATCAAAAAAATTAGCTGGATGTGGTGAAGTACACCTGTAGTTCAGCTACTTGAACGGCTGAGGCAGAAGGATCACCTGAGCCCAGCAGGCCAAGGCAGTGGTGGATGTGATCCTACCACTG